AACCCTGTGGAGCGCATTTCCACTCCCCACACATGGGGTCGCCCTGAGTTGGAGCCGGACTCTACTGCAACTAACAATAAGAAACTTCTCTTAACACAGAGGTGGGTGGGATAAGCCCCTAGGGTGAGCCTCAGGAATCAGATATGAAATCCCCTAGTTGGAGATCCCCTGAACACAGCGCGGGGCGGGGGGGTGGTGTTGATCTCTCTAGACACAGATGTAGGGGGAGCTGGCTCCCCTGGACACAGGTGTGGAAGTCTGAGCGCCCCTAGACACAAGTGTGGAGAATCTCAGCGCCTCCGGACACAGGTATGAAAGCTATGGGCTCTTCTGGACACAGCAGTGCGGGGATCTAGGCTTTCCTGGACACGTGGGGGGCTTCAGCAGCCTCCAGGACAATGGGAGCCAAGAGTTGGTAGCGTGAGTCACAAACTCCGCAAGCCTTATTTCCCTTCCGCTTTCTCCGCCATTTACTTGATTCCGCGCAGACCGGCTGCCTCTGCCCGGCAGACGCGAAAACGCCCCCCAGCCAGGCGCGCCCCACACCGCCTCCACCTCAGTCTTCCCGCGCGGCACGTAAGTCCCGCCCCCGCGGCCGAGGGGCGGGCGCTGCTAGGGGTCATGAGGAAGAGGAGGGGGAGGAGCCACGCGCCGAGGGGCTGGGCGGAATCCGGTAGGGACGGGTTTGGGGGCGAGAGGCGGGGCCCTGGCCACTGAGGAAACCCGGAGTTCTTGGATTGGCGCGTTGCAGCGTGCGGGGGCAGGTCCAGGGGGAAGAGCGCGGGGCGGGGATAATTTGCATGCTCCGCCCCCTATGATTGACACCCGATCGCTCCGTCCTGCCCACCGCTTACTTAGCCCCGCGCTCCCGGCCTCCGACTCAAATTTCTCAGCCGAGACCCAGCCCCGCCCCGCTCGGTTAGCAACTGGGCCAAGGCCTGCGGGCGTCCCCCGTCGTGCAGGCGGGCCTCGCCCAGGTTCCTGGAACCAGCGAAACCAGCCTTGACAGCTGCTTCTGGACTAGTCCCGACCGCGACCTGGCCCTTTCCCAGCTGGGCGGGGCTAAACTGGGGCGCCAATCTCTTGGGTCCAGCGCCGCGGAGCGGGAAAAGACCTAGGAATTGGGGACACGACTAGAGCTCTCTCCTTCTTGCTTTCCTGCAGCGCGATCCTCTCTGGGCCTCAGTTTCCCGACTGTAAGAAGTGGAAGTTAAGAGGACTTAACTTGCGGGACACTTGCAAATGCATTATTCGTTCACAAACCACTTCGCGCGCACCTGCTCTGCCCAGCACCCGCCCTCGGAGGTCAAAGGCTAGGAGGCAAATAAAGTCAGAAACCAGGTAAAATTGCAGTTGTGATAAGTACTAGGGGAAAAAAAAGCTCTTGATCAGAATGCCAATGAATATAGGGACCTTGGACCAAGATGGGGGGCAGTTAAGGAACCTTCCCAGAGGATTTGACCCTGAGCTGAATTGGGTTAACTAGGTGAACAGGAGAGGGGAAAGAGTTCTAGGCTGGGAAAATAGTAGCAAATACGAGGAACAAAAGCAGGTCAGTGTGGCAGGAGGGTGATGCAAGATCAGGCCAGAGATGGCCGGTCTCGGTCATACCGGGCCTTTTGGATAATCATAAGAGCAGAATTTTCCTGACTCTGGGACTGTGGTCAAAGTCTTACACTGGCTACTGCTTCTGCAGGATTTTAAGACATTGTTTTGTTTCCCCAGTAATTTTTTAAACTGTTACCTTCTAAATATGGTGAGTGCGTTAAATTAAAGAAAAATATGAGGTAAATAATAGTATAGCTGTTATACCAGTTGATTCTGACTCGCGTGTCAGAGTAGAACTGTGCTCCATAAGGTTTTCAGTGGCTGTTTTTTCCAGAAATAGTTCTCCAGGCCGTTCTTCCAAAGCAACTCTGTGTAGACTCGAACCTTCAACTTTTTGGTTAGCACCCAAGCGTGTTACTTACTTGTACCACACAGGGACTCTACAGTCTTTACAGATATAGCAAAAATCCTGACCCTTGACCATCTGAAGTTTGGAAAATGCTAAGAGCTGCGGGAAGCCATTGATTAAATGATATAATAAGTACTAAACACTTAGCCCCTGCTTACTCAAGACAACCTTATTCACTCATTCAGGCCTGGGCTGGGTATTCATGGAACCGGCATTTGAATCCGAGAGCAGCTGCTAAGTGGAACATTAATATATCATTTCAGATGGTGACCAGTGCTCTAAGGACACTTGACGTAGCATAAGGAAGCAGAGTGACAGAGAGGGGCAAAATTTTAGATCAGGTAGGCAAAGAAGGCCTCCAGGAGTTGATATTTCAGCAGAAACCTGAAGAAAGTGGGAATTGGTGGGTGTCTGGGAGAAGAGCTTTCCAGGCAGAAGGCACAGCAAGTGCAAAGCCCTGAGGTTGGATCACACTTGGCCTGTTCTCCAAGCAGAAAGAAGGCCAGTGTGGATCCAGTTTGTTTTGTAAGATCTGTAAGGCTGCGGTGTAGACTACGTTGGGGGAGGGTGGCAAGGAGGAGACTAGTCCAGGTGAGAGGTCTTGGAAGCTCAAACCAGGCTGGGAGCCAGGAAGGTGGGAAAAGTGGACAGGCCTGGAGTGAGACAAGAGATGGAGGTGACACCACCTGCTCCTGGTTGAGATGTGAGGGAAAGAGTTAAAAAGGGAGCTGAGGAGGACCCTTCTATTGGAAGGCTGGCATTACCACTCACTGCGGTGGAGTGGCAGGGAAGAGCAAGAATCCTCCATGGGCACTGTTACACTTGGGATACCTCAGACCCCCACAAGGAGAGGTGGGAGGTCAGTGAGGAGGTCCAGGCTGGAGAGCTAATTTGAGAGTCAGCGTTTTTTTCCCAGTTGTCATGGAGTCAATTCTAACTCATGTGTATCAGAGTAGAATTGTGCTCCACAGGGTTTTCAATGGCTGATTTTTCAGAAGTAGATTACCAGGCCTTTCCCCCAAGGCTCCTCCAACCTTTCAGTGAGCAGTCGAGCGCATTAGCGAGTGCACCGCGAGGGGACTTCTGGGAGTCAGCATAGAGTAGATGCGGCATTTAGAGCCCTAAGACTGAATGAGGCACCAAGAGGGGCTTACTCTGCATTGTTAAAGAGGCATGGGCATGAAGAAGGAGACTGAGAAGGGGCCACTGGTGAGGCGGGAAGAAACCAAGGGAGGGTGCGGTCTTGGAGAGGGAAGAATAAACCCTGTTAAATGCTGCTGCTAAGGAATCACTGCGATTAGACCAAAATCTGGGGCTGGGAGAGGAGGCTGACCCTGGTGGACGCTGAGGGACTGGAGACAAGAACTATCCTTCTAGCTCTCTGAGCTTGATACCGCCTCCGCACATTTTTACATGCATGTATACTTACTTGTATTGCTGCATGTGCTTTTCAACGTCCAGCACTGTTATCACCTCAAGTTATAACAATAATAAAATTATAACCCACGTAGCACTTTCTGTGTGCAGGGCACTGTGCTAAGCATTTCACATGAATTTAATCCTCACAACAAACCTAAGACAGGGACTATTATTGCCCCCATTTTACAGACAGGGAAACTGAGCCGAGCAGAGGTGCAGGGCCTTGCTCAAGGCCACAGAGCAAGCAGGTAGAGCAATTGGGAGTGGAGCTGGCAGTCTGGCTGCGGAATTTATGCTTACTCCCCAACTTCTGCAACTGGCCTTTGTCCCTCAGCCTGATGGTTCTGAGCTATCTGTGTCAGCCCAGGGAGATCTGTCTGGCTTGGGCCTTTTGTCCTCTGGGGAGTAGCAGCCCATTTGGGTGTGCATGTAGATCCTTTCCAATTTGTCCCTATTTCACACAGCATTGCAATGAGCATCCCTCTGGAACCTCCAGGTATGGCCTGAGACTCCCTGGAGAATCCCTGGCTCTGGAATTTGTGACATTCCCAGTTTTCACAGCTACTGTCCAATCCATTACTCCTCAGACCGCCTGCCCACTCATCACGTGAAAGCTCCAGGCCTCATGTATATCGGTCGTGGTCATGACTTAATGTTACCTATTCCGGGAGGTGAAAATGGAGTCTTGGGTATAAGGTTATCTCAAGCGTGTGTGTGTGTGTGTGTGTGTGTGTGTGTGTGTGTGTGTGTGCGTGTGTGCGCGTGTGTGCGCGTGTGTGCGCGTGTGTGCGCGTGTGTGTGGGTGCTTACTCCTGTCCTGTCCCCAGCCTCCCGAGAGTCCCGCCCTACCCCCTGGCAGCCCCCTAGCTCTCACCAGGCACCGGAAGTCCCTCAGCGGCCTGGGCAGGCTTGGGGGTCGGCTGAGCCACTTCCCGCGGAAGGAAGGGCCTGGCGGTTCCTGCAACAGGATGCGGGCGAGGCCCCCTTCCCCGCCGCAGGGACTTCCCGGGGCCGGCCCAGGTTCGCGGGGGAGTTGCTCTGATCCGAATGTATTGAGCCACTTAAGGGTGTGGGGCCCCCGCCCCTCAAGTCCCATTGGAGAGTTGTGCTTTGGGAAAAGTTGAGAAAAGCCGTGGGTGGCGCTAAAGTCTCCCACGTTGCACCAGGAAGAACTCAGGAGACGGTGGAGGCGAGCTTGGCCAGAGCCTCCAGTCGGGCACGACATGGGGCGGCGGGCCGGGAGAGCGTGGAGCTTGCAGGAAAGAGTGAGTAGGGTGTGTGGACAGGGCAGGAGGGGAGCCTGGGGCCCAAGAGGGCGCGGCGCGTGTTCCGGGGCGGGCCCGCCCCCTCTCTCTCTGCCCTAAGTTTTGGGGTCAGGTTCCCTGGGTCGCGGGAGCCCTGCAGCTCCGCCGTGGGGAGGCGGGGCGGCCTTTCCCGGAGGCGCCGTCCGCACTCCCAACACCTGCGGCCCTTTTGTCCGCCTGACGGATCCCCGCCTTGTCGTGGAGCAACGCGAGAAAACAGCAGTGTTTTCTCATGGGGTGGCTAACCTGGTCTGGGGCAGGGCTAAAACAGATAACATTTCTAATCCTAAAGCCTAGCCGGGAAGCTGTTTGGAGGACCATTTCACAGAAGAGGAAACTGAGGCTGGGAGCCTCATCTCCCTGCCTGAGCCACACAGTTATACCGTCAGAAACAGGTTCAGACTGCTGGGTGAGGGGCCCGCTCTAAAGCACACCTGCTCGGGCCCACAGCAGTCCTTGGGACTGCCGCCAGAGTCGATTCAGTAGGTCAGGACAGGGAGGGAAGATCTGCTATTTTTCCAAAGCCCCCCAACAAGAGGTGTGGTCTCCCAAACCGGTTTGGGTCACGGTACCCAGCAGTTTTCCCCCAAACGTTGAACTCAGAAAGCACTCTTTCCCCCATCCCGGAGTTGTAGTGGAAGTTTGAGGGAGCCCCAAAATCTGGGGGCCAGCAGGGAGCCCACGTGGAGCTCCAGATAAGTGCTGTGGCAAAGAAAAGGGGCCCAGCTCCCTCCGCCCACGTGGTAACCGGTCAGACCGGTTCCTGGGGCACCAGCCCCAGTGCCGCCAGCCCGCCAGCTCCTGACCCCTTAACCCTCCACCTCCCCCACCAGGGAAGAAAAACAGGCAGCAGATTTTTTACTCAAATAGTCTTTATTTTCCAATCTGACGTTTTTAACAAAACGCCAGGTAGATGGAGTTAAACAGAATCCACCACAGGAAAGGTAAACAGACCCTCGGAAAAGACCCTGGCAAGAATCCCGCCTCCCAAAACTGGGGCCAAGGCTCACCAGCAAGTGGTCGCAGCTCAGCTTTATGGCAGCTCTGCACGCCCCACCCTTTCGTGATTCAGACCAGGAACGTCTGGGTGGATTGTGTCCCTGTGTCTGAGAACATAGTCCCCACCACTAATGCCCAGATGAGAACAATTTTCATCTGTAATGAGATCGGCCCCCGCCCCCACCCGAAGGCACAGGAGCGCCGGTACTAACCCATAACGCGCTGTGGCAACGTGACTCAGGCCGCCCTCCTCCCACTCCCCCGGCAGGCCCACACCCCAGACCCTCCTCCTAGGCCCCACACCCACGCAAGGCAACAGGAAGCGCCTTACGTCTGCCCCCATGACGCAACGATGACCGCGTGCACAAGTATATCAGGGAGGGTAAAGGGAAGTGCCTGGAATTCTGAGGTTGAAACGTAAAGACCCACTACTGAAAAACCTTGAATAGGCAGCACAGCTTCAGTTTAAAAAAAAAAAAAATCACGTCCAACCCTGAGGAAATAACGACGCCTCCCTTTCTCCCAGTCCCGGAGGGAGAAAGATCCGAGTTCCAGTCCGTTAAGACAGCACCTGCGGACGCGGCAGGTCTCAGCGGTAGGCGCCCGCGTCCCCGGCTCCTCCGCGCCGCCGCTGCACACAGCTGGCAACGGCTCCCGGGGGGCAAAGGCCCTCTCCGAGCCTCTCGGCAGCCCGGGCGGCGGCTCCTCTTTACGGTTTCCACGGGCACACCCCGGGGGGGAGCCTCGCCTCGATCTGCGCACTCGGGCTGACGGCTCAGCCTGCGCTTTGGGCTCCGGTGTCGCCACTCGGGGCCCTCAGAAGGCCACCACGGCCCGCACGAGCACGTTCAGCATGCTGTCCGCCGGGCGGCAGGCCGGCTTTGCCTCGCAAGCTGGCGGCGCCGTCGGGGGCGCCGCAGGGTTGCAGTTCAGGAGGCCGGAGAAGCGCCTCTGTAGGACGCGTGCCAGGTTGGGGAAAGCGCCCTCCGCTTGCGCCGGAGGGGGCTGCAGGCGATCGGGAACTTCCGACGGCGTCTCCTCTGCCTCCTCTTCTTCCAGTCTGGCTTTCTTGCTCGGGACCAGTCCGGCGTCCCCGCTGTCGCTCAAGCTGCTACTCCGCCGCTTGCGGCTGGCTTTGGCGGGGCGTGGGCTGCAGCGGGAAGGGGTCTCCTCGGCTCGCGGCGTCTCCTGGGTGTCCATGGGCTCCGGGGAGGGCGGCTCACCGTCGGGAGGCGCTGCCTGGGCTGCAGCTTCCGCTTCCCGCGGCGGGTGCAGGCGAGGGTCAGGGGAGCGGCCGGTCGGCAAGGGCACCTCAGGCTCGTGAGCCTCCACCTTGGCGGAGAGGTAGAGCTCCCGTGCGCTGCGCATGACCAGCGACAGCTGCAGACTCCGGTGCAGCCGCAGACCACCGCGCTGCATCCGTGAGTGGTACATCTTCCACACCGACAGGGTCATGATGCGTTGCGCTTCCTTCTGCACCTCCATTACGGCTCGTGGGCGGGGGGTAAAAGCAGAGGGGGCTCCCGGGTTGGACAGGTCTGACAGGAGCTGTACTCCGGCCAACGCGCTCGCTCACGCCTTTCTCCGCACGCTAACTTACGCTGTGACACTGCGAGGACGTTCTGCCGGGGCGATTGCCACCCTGACCCTTTTATATTCTCAATGAGATCACGGAGACGCCCCGCCCAATCAGAGGGCCGCATCCGGGCTTTCCACCGCGCCGTGGCAAGAGAGACTCCTTAAAGTGACAGGATGGGATTTACTGAGCGGGAAAAGGGAAGGGGACCGGGACGAGGAGTGTCCACCACTTCTCGATGATATCTCGAGGTGGCCCCCCTTCTCAGGGACTCGCCGGTGCAGCCACGTGCAGGCCCACGGGAGGGGTGGTCGTGAGTGGGGCTCAGGGCCCACCCACGTGCTCGCGTCTGGAGGCCTCAGCAAGTCATAGGCGGAGTTTCCCTTTGCACCCGGGAAGACCCGTGCTCCAGCCGGTGTATTCCCCGTGGACACAGTTCCTGGCATCTTCCAGGCACCTAATTGGTGTTTGCCGATTCAGTAACAACGATACTAACATTTGTTAAGTGCTTACTACGTGCTAGGCACTGCTAAGTGCTTTCCTTTCATCATTGTCTCATTGATTCCTCACCTCCATGGGGGGGGGGTATTGTTGTACCTGCTTTTTTCAGGTGGGGAAACCGAGGCAGAGACTACTTACTAAACGAATGAGCCACTGCAGTGAAAGGGAGCCACTGGGGCCTCCATCTCTTCTGTCTAAAGCGTCGGCCAGCCCTCCTCACTCCGCCCGTGTTTGTAGGCGTGAGGGCGGCGGCGCTGGCTCGGCTCTGGGGCGAAGCTGCCCACCCTGCGGGCCGGGGCGCGGCCCAAGCTGCCTGCTGTTTCCGCTCTCCGTACTGAGCCTCCCCCCAGTTTCCCCGCAACAGTAACTCCACGGGTGAGCTTGGCGTTCGCAAGGTGGCGGACCCGGTTGCTGAGTCCCTTTGAGCGCGTGTCTGCCGCCCACGACGCCACTGCGGTGCTCCGCCTCCGCCCCATCGGGAGGCGGGGGGGGGGCTGGAAACTCAGCAACGCAAGTAAAAAAGCAGATAAAAAACATCGGCTCCCACCCTGCGCTATGCGCCATCCCACCAAGAAAACCTTCTTCTAAGAAAAAAAAAGAAAACCTAATTCCAGTTCCTTACAAAAAGGACACAAAATTGTCCGAGTAGCTCCTTCCATTCGTGGTACGGATCCTTTAAAGGGAGGCCCCGCCCCTACAGTATAGCCAGCAGAGTCTTCCCGCCAGGGGAACCTGTGGACTTCCACTACTGGAGTATATTTGGAGGTAGTGACGTAAGCAGGCGCACGAGCCGCTTCCGGCTGCCCACATAAGGACAGGGGCCGGAATCTCTTTAGCTGGGGGTGGCGGGCTACTTCCGGGCAGGCGGGGCGGAGCGGATACGCCCCCTCCTCACGCCTTCACAGGGGCAGCCAGAGCCGGCTGGAGCTCGTGGCTTCCGGCCCGGCATCAAGAGGAGCCTGGGCGGATGGGGAGGGCAATTTCGCTTCCGTGCCTCGGGGGGCCAGGAAGGCATGGCCCCTTTTCGGGAAAGCGTCCTGTCCGCGGGGAAGGGCAACTTCAGGGCTCCCACTGACGCCATCTCCCAAAGACCTGTTCATCCCTGTCACCCATGGAGGCCCCAGTTATTTCCCTTACATAGCCCCCTCCCAGGTTATTCGTGCACCCCCAAAAAGCGACCCTCCCATGCACCCTTCGAGCACGCTCGCGCTCCCGCCTCCCCCTACGTGAGAACTCAACAATTATTTCCCCCCAAAAGCCTTCTCGAAAAAAAACTGACTCCCTTCAGCGATTCTAACACACTGCAGCGACCTGCTGGGGACGCCCCCGTCCCCGCTTCCCCCACCAGGAGACCCCACAATTACAGCCGTAGCTCAGCGCTATCTCTGAGACCGCACATAGCGACTCTGACACAGGGGCGACCCTCCAAGGACTCCCTCAGACATCCCGCCCACCCTCGAGAGACAAGAGATCCCACAACAATCTCCTCAGACCACCCGCTCAAGCAACGCCTTGAGTAATCCCTCGAAAAGGGCCTTACCGGAGGCTGCACAATGCGCCTGCGTCACAGGGCGACCCTCTGACTCCCTCCCCAGCCATTCCTGGCCCCTTCCCAGAGAGAGACCCTACACGCAGCGGACACCTCTGGAGACCCTCCTCAGAGCCACCACGCCCCGCGACCCCCAAGCTCGCACTCAGAAACACTCCTAGCATACAGAGAAGCACCCTCTATGAAGCCCGACTCCCCACACACTCTCGAAGGTGAGCTCCCCCCGGAACATCTTCGCGGACTCCCACTCACGGCCACGCCGCTCCTCCCCCGCAGGAAAAATAGAGGAGAATGCCACGGAAGCCCCCACCGAACACCCCCCCCCTCCCCGCAGGGGAAGGGGAGGGTCATCTCTCCCATCCCTTCCTGACCATGCCACCTGGACCCTGGGCTAGGACGACCTCCCAGTATGGGATCCAGGACTTCCTTTTCTCCGGCGACCAGCAGGGTGCAGGCGCAGGGAGTCCGTTAGGAGGATCTAAGAATGGAATGAACGCAGGAGTTAAGGGAGGCTATTATTATTTACATTGCCCAGAAGGGAAACTGAGGGTGCGCAGCAACAATCCAAGGGGTTGGGACTCGAACCCCGCGAGTCAGAACTAGAAAAGTGCCCGCCCACAGTAGGGTACGCGGATGCGAAGGGGTGGGCATGTGGACAGGAAGCCGTATCTGCCCACAACTAAGATGGCAGACAGAGTGGCCTCGGAAAGGGCGGAAGTTTCCACACTTCGGACTTCCAATGCTTTTCTTTCTCTGGCGGCCTTGCTCTCTGGTGTGGCTTTGGTCACGTGACGGAGGCGAGGAGGCGGTGCGTTTTTCTCTGCGGGGAGGGAGGGAGCGAGCAAGGCCAAGAGGGGAGGGGGCTCGGCCTGGGGGTGGGTGGATGACATGTCTTTCGAAGACCCGTTTTTTGTAGTCCGAGGGTGAGTGACAGGGACGGGGGAGGGCGGAGGGTGCTCGATCCCCTGCCAGCCAGTGCCCAGGGCGCTGGCCACAGCGTGCCAGGCGGTCCCGGCGCGGCTCTTGGGGTGCTGGCTCAGGGTCGCCCGGCGGCCGAGTGGGAGAGGTCCGCCGGGGGATCTGAGGGTTCCCAGAGCCCACCCCTCGTTTGGGGGCGCAGTAGGGGCGGGCGGGAGGACCACCTGCCCCCAGCGGCACCCACTGTGCCTTTGCCTGCAGCGAGGTGCAAAAGGCGGTGAACACAGCCCGTGGGTTGTACCAGCGCTGGTGCGAGCTCCTGCAGGAGGGCACGGCGGTCGAACGCGAGGAGCTAGACTGGACAACCAATGAGCTTCGGAATGGCCTGCGAAGCATCGAGTGGGACCTCGAGGACCTGGAGGAGACCATCGATATCCAGGCCGGGAGGGAAGGTAGCATGGGAGCCAGCCCTCCGGGAGGGTGAACACCGGGAGGTGTTGAGGGCTGGGGGAGGGAAGGGGTGTCTGGCTCTGGCCTTGATCCTTGACTTGCTGCCCACCTATCGTGGAGGCCAACCCCGGCAAGTTCAAGCTCCTAGCTGGGGACCTGCAGGAGAGAAAGATGTTCGTGGAGCGGATGCGGGAGGCGGTCCAGGTGAGAGGCAGTCTCCTGTGTGGTGGGCATGGGGAGTTTGGGGAATCTTCACTCTCTGATCTCTCTGCCTTCACCCCCAGGAAATGAGAGACCATTTGGTCAGCCCAGCTGCCATAGCTTTCATGGAGAGGAATAATAAAGAGGTAAGGCATCCTGTTCCAACATCTCGGCCTGAGTCTCTCTGGGCGATCCTCCCCTCCTGTGTATGCAGATGCCTGTTCCTTCTGCGGGGATGCCCATCCTCTCTGTGTGGTTGTCTCCTGACTGTGTACCTACCTTCTCTTTTTGTGTACGTGCAGCTGAGCCTTCTCCGTGTATATGTTCACTCAGTGTACTCTTCTGCTGTCTCCTGTGGGTATATACTGATTTCCTGGGGGAGGAGGGGTCTGTACACCTATCTCCTGTGTGTGTATGCCTGTCCTTTTTACTTACAGGCCCACTTGCTCTGTGTGTAACTGTTCTCAGGATATGTACTCACCTTTTCTGTGTATGCACCTGACCCATCTGAGTGCATGCACTTGGCCTCTGAGTGTGTACCTGCCTGCCATCCCCACACACGCCAGCTCTCTGCGGGGGTGTGCCTGCCCCATCTCTGTGCTCCTTATGCCCTTCCTGTGCATTCTCCCTGCCATCTGTTTGGACACCTTTTCCCTCTGTGTTGTGTGTCTATTCTTTGCACCTTGTAAAACAGCAGCCTCTCTTTATTCTGTCATAAGCTCACATAGGGCTTAGGGGCTGATGCCCACACCAGCTTGGCACCTGTAGAAGTGCCCCTGGGCCTGCCAGATGGGCTGCCTTGGGGATTAAAATCTAAACTTAAAAATACATATATTCATACGATAATAGTAAGTGTTCCTTTACTGAACGCTTAGTCTGTGCCTGACCCCATGCTGAGTGATTTGCAGACACCTCACCTGCACTCAACCCTAGGAGGCAGGGACTGAGGGACAGAGAGGAGGAGCTACTTGACTAAGGTCATGCACCTAGTAAGTGGTGGGAACTGGCTTTAAACCAGGACGGTCTGCTGCCATCTGACTCCATCTGCCTCCATGGATTAATATTAATAAAAGTCAACACTTCTTTTTTGTTTTCTTCGAATTTTTTTTAAATTGTAGTTTAAGTGAAAGTTTACAATTCAAGTTAGCCTCTCATACAAAAATTTATACACACGCCGTTATGTGACCCTAATTGCTCTCCCTATACTGTGACAGCACACTCCTCCTTTCCACCCCTGATTTCCCATGTCCATTCAACCGGCTCCTGACCCTCTGTGCCTTCTCATCTCACCTCCAGACAGGAGCTGCCCATTTAGTCTCATGTATCTACTTGAGCTAAGAGGCACACTCCTCACGAGTATCATTTTCTGTCCCACCGTCCAGCCTAATCTTTGTCTGAGGATTTGGCCTCGGGAATTGTTTTAGTTCTGGGTTGATGGAGAGTCCGGGGACCATGCTTTCTGGGGTTCCTCCAGTCTCAGTCAGACCATTAAATCTGGTCTTCTTACTAGAATTTGAGTTCTGCATCCCACCCTTCCCCTGCTCCATCAGGGACTCTCTGTTGTGTTCCCTGTCAGGGCGGTCATTGGTGGTAGCTGGGCACCGTCCAGTTCTTCTGGTCTCAGGCTGATGAAGTCTCTGGTTTATGTGGCCCTTTCTGTCTCTTGGGCTAATACTTTCCTTGTGTCTTTGGTGTTCTTCATTCTCCTTTACTCCAGGTGGTTGCGACCAATTGATGCATCTTAGATGGCTGCTTGCTAGCTTTTAAGACCCCAGATGCCACTCACCAAAGTAGGATGCAAAACATTTTCTTAATAAACTTTGTTATGCTAATTGACCTAGATGTCACCTGAAAGCATGGTCCCCAGGCCCCCACCCCTGCTACTGTGTCCCTCGAAGTGTTTGATTGTATTCAGGAAACTTCTTAGCTTTGGTTTAGTCCCATTGTGCTGACTTCCCCTGTAGTGTGTGCTGTCCTTCCCTTCACCTGAGATAATTCTTGTCAAAAGTCAACACTTCTTGATCACTTACTGTGTGGGCACGCTGTTCTAACAGCTTTCCATGAATCAATTCATTAAATCCTTATTCCAACCCTAGGAAGCAGGGATTATAGCTCTCCTCATTTTACAGATGAGGAAACTGAGGCACAGGGAGGTCAAGTGACATGGCCAAGGTCACCTGCTAGTAAGTGGTGGGACTGGAATTGGAGCCTAGGCCATCCTGGCCCAAAGACTGTGTGGATGGGTCACGTCCTCCATCTGGCCTCAAAATTTATCCTTCTTTGCATGAGTGTCCATCCCTGAGCCTGTGGTCTGGGCCCCACAGATCCTGGCGGGCAAGTCAGCTGCTCTGAAGTCACCCAGCGACCTGCTGGATGCCAGTGCAGTCTCACCTTCGTCTCGCTACATCGAGGAGCAGCAGGCTACACAGCAGGTTTGTAGAGGTGGCCGGGGGTCTTGGGCTGGGGGAGCTTGTGGACATCTCAGGGGTCCCTGCCCACAGCAGCTCCCACCCCTCTGCCCTGCAGCTGATCATGGACCAACAGGATCAACAGCTTGAAATGGTGTCTGGGAGCATCCGGGTCCTAAAACACATGTCCGGCCGCGTTGGGGAGGAGCTGGACGAACAGGGCATGTGAGGCCAGGGCTCTGGGGGTGGGCCAGGAGCCCTCGGCTGCTCTGGTGCAGCTGGGCACTTTGGGGGCTGATGCCAGTTTGGTCTCGGCAGCATGCTAGACACCTTTGCTCACGAGATGGACCAGACCCAGTCCCGGATGGACGGGGTCCTCAGGAAGATGGCCAAAGTATCCCACATGACAAGTGGTGAGTCTTCTAGGGGATGGGTCCTGGGGGCCCTGGTGGTCACCCACCCACATGTGACCTCTGATCCTCTTGCCCCCAGACCGCCGGCAGTGGTGTGCCATCGTGGTACTGCTGGGGGTGCTTCTCCTGGTCCTCATCCTGCTCTTCTCTCTCTGACCCCGGCCCTCCCCAGGGGGCTGGTCCCTCTAGGCGGGGAACAGCCAAGCACTTTAGAGCTGTGCAGGGCCCTGCCCTCTGGGGAGGGGGCTGCACCTGGGGAGCTGCCCCAAAGGCTCTCATCCAGAGCCAGTGGGACCCTCAGGGCCCTAGGTGGGGTCTCCTGCTACCCGTCCTATCCCAAGTGTGCTTAGGTGAGGGTGGAGGTAGGAAGACTTCAGCTACCCTCCTTCCCAATGCTATTTCCGGGTTCCAGAGCCATTCTCTCATGTGCCTTCTACATGTGCCAACTTTGAAATAAAATCCCAGCATTTTTATACATAGTTGTATCATACGGTTTGTTGACTCTAAACTTGAGACTGACCCCTGAACAGGATGGCCTTTCTAGAGGGCTCTGCTTGCACATGCTAGCACAGGTGTGAGTGTGTGTGTATGTATGTATGTATGTGTATGTCAGGGATTTCAGGGGTTACTATTTGGCACAAGCAAGACTAGAGTGTGTGTATGTGTATGTGTGTGTCTGTGTGTTAGGGATTTCAGTGGTCAGTATTTGGTACAGAAAGGATTTGTTGTTAGGTGCTGTTGAGTCAATTCTTATTCATAGCAACCCTGTGTACAACAGAATGAAACACTGCCCAGTCTAGCGCTATCCTCACAATCATTGCTATGTTTGAGCCCATTGTTGCAGCCACTGTGTCAATCCATCTAGTTAAGGGTCTTCCTCTTTTTCACTGACCCTCTACTTTATCCAGCATAATGTCCTTCTCCAGGGATGGTTGCTCCTGATAACAGGTCCAAAGTACATGAGACGAAATCTCGCTATCCTTCCAAGGAGCGCTCTGGCTGTACTTCTTCCAAGACAGATTTGTTCATTCTTCTGGCAGTCCATGGTATATTCGATATTCTTTCCCTACATCATAATTCAAAGGCATCAGTTCTTCTTTGGTCTTCATTATTCATTGTCCAGCTTTCACATGCATATGAGGCAATTGAAAACACCATGGCTTGGGTCAGGTGCACCTTAGTCCTCAAAGTGACATCTTTGCTTTTTAACACTTGAAAGAGGTCTTTGGCAGCAGATTTGCCCAGTGCAATACGTCGTTTGATTTCTTGACTGCTGCTTCCATGAGCATTGGTTGTGGATCCAAGTAGAATGAAGTCTTTGACAACTTCAACATTTTTTCCATTTGCCATGATATTGTTTATTGGTCTAGTTGTGAGGATTTTTGTTTTCTTTATGTTGAGATGTAATCCATACTGAAGACAGTAGTCTTTGATCTTCATCAGTAAGTGCTTCAAGTCCTCTTCGCTTTCAGCAAGCAAGGTTGTGTCACCTGCATACTGCAGATTGTTTGAGTCTTCCTCCAATCCTGATGCCCCATTTTTCTTCATACAGTCTCAGGTTATTTGCTCAGCATACAGGTTGAATACGTATGGTGAAAGGATACAAAAATCTTGAAGCACATATTTCCTGATTTTAAACCACGCAGTATCCCCTTGTTCTGTTCTAACGACTACATCTTGGTCTATGTGCAGGTTCCACATGAGCACAATTAAGTGTTCTGGAATTCCTATTCTTCTCAATGTTATCCATAATTTGTTATGATCCATAGATTCAAATGCCTTTGCATAGTCAATAGAACACAGGTAAACGTTTTTCTGGTATTCTCTGCTTTCAGCCAAGATGCATCTGACATCAGCAATGATATCCTTCGTTCCAGATCACAGAAAAAACTCCTGTTAGGTGCCGTTGAGTCGGTTCCGACTCATAGCGGCCCTGTGTACAACAGAACGAAACACTGCCTGGTCCTGTGCCATCCTCACAATCATTGTTATGCTTGAGCCCGCTGCTGCAGCCACTGTGTCAGTCCATCTTGTTGAGGGTTTTCCTCTTTTTCGCTGACCCTCTACTTTACCAAGCATGATGTCTCCCTCCAGAGATTGATCCCTCCTAATAACATGTCCAAAGTACATGAGATGAAATCTCACCATCCTCCCTTCTAAGGTGTGCTCTGGCTATACTTCTTCCAAGACAGATTTGTTCATTCTTCTGGCAGTCCATGGTATATTGAATATGCTTTACCAACACCATAATTCAAACTTGTCAGTGCTTCCATTGTCCTTATTCATTTTCCAGCTTTCGCATGCATATGAGGACAGAAAAGAGTATTCTGGTTTATTTTTTGGTTTTAATAACGGGTAATTTATTACCATTGAAAATTCTAAACTCCAGTTCTTTGCTGAGCTTCTGAAGATCAGCCTACATATCTTCTGCTCATTCTATGTCTCAGGGAAGTAAATCCCTTAGAAGTGGAGTTTAGTTTAGCAGTCATTTCTAAGGGGCCTTTGAGTTAATGCTGGGTCCCACTGCAAACCTAGTGAGTTTATTCCCTTTCTAATATGTCAGTCTACACAGGCCAGCTTTGTCTGCTGTAGACCTTGAGTCTAAAATTGTGTTGTGACTTAAGTTACTATCTTAGATGTTTCCATCCTGTGTGTTACATAGTAAGGTATCAAAACGACAAGTCTCAAGTGCTCATCTACACATTGTAAAGTTCTGGGTGTTACAAAGCTGTCATTCTTTTCGGCTAAAGTGTCTAATACTAAAAAGATTTTTACACCAAAAACATTAATACTATGGTTTTGGTTCTCTTAATTGTTTCTGTACTTCATTTTAAGTCTTCCTGGGGTTAAAGGTTGTATCACCCCTTCTGAAGACACATGCCATGCCTGGTTTTACCTACATACCAACAGAGTTTCTGTTGTTACTTGTGACCAGAGTCACCCACTTAGCTGTCGGCACTCCTAAACCCTGTTATGTTGGCCAAGGCTGGGCTTTGGAACCCCAAAGGGAGTCATATTATTGAAATATACTAGGTTGTTATGGATTGAATTGTGTCCCCTAATTGTATTTCATTTTGTTGTACATAGGGTCACTTTGAGTCAGAACTGACTGGACTGGCACCTAACAACAACATACCTGTGGTTATAGGAATGGTTTTTCTTTATGTTAATGGGGCCGTTATTAGTGTAGGTTGTGTCTTAAATCAGTCTCTTTTGAGATATAAAAGAGCAGATTAAGCAGGCAAGCAGAGATTGGGGATGATAGATACCAGGCCACATGAAGATCACCAAGGAACTGAGATGCAGAAGCTGAAAAAAGGTCCTTCCGTATAGCCGACAGAGAGCCTTTCCCTAGAGCTGGCGCCCTGAATTCAGACTTCTAGCTTTCTAACCTGTGAGAAAATAAATTTCTGTCCATTAAAGCCACTCACTTGTGGTATTTCTGTTATAGCAGCACTGGATAACTAAGACACCGGTTCACTCTTTGAATTGAAATATTCCCCAAATATCTTCTCCGCGGATGTCTGCAGCTCCCACTGTCCCCACAGAGGTGATCTGCTTGGGCTGAGATGAAGGCTCCCTCTCAAAACAAAGATCTTTTGACTTGCTGGTGAGAAGACAGGTGAATACATTCCCATTTTACTTGAAGGCTCTTTGAATGGATGGAACCGTAAGAGCAGGGACATTCCACAAACTTGATGGAGCCACTGCCCTTTTAGGCTCTGACAGGACTCACCCTCGAGGAGCTGGGGCATGTATAGGATGTCTTGTGTGGGAGTGCTAGGTGTCTGTATACACTGGACTAGCTGGATGGGTGTTTTAACTGGAAGCTGCAGGTTTTGCCAGCCCCAGGCAGTGGCAGGTCCAAACTTCTGTTTCACCATCTGAAAAGGGCTCACTGGCTCTCCCCAGCTCAGGGTTATCCAAGAGATGCGTGCCTGGAATGGCAATTCCTGGGCACACCCTGGGCCATCTCCACTACGCAATGTGATTGTGAAGCCCCGTGAAGTGGGCACATCTGTGGAGGGGAGGTCCCCAGTATGCCGTGTTGGGAGGAGACGTCCCTGCATGTCCCTTCCCAGCCCACCTCACCAGGTCCCCAGTGAGCAGCATGCGGCAGGGCTGTTACAAAGGCGTTTAGTTTATTCTCCTCATCAGTATCACTGATATTCTCATGGTTCACATTTCCCAGTGCCACTCCTCTCCTTACAGTAGTTAATGTGCAATCTCACTTAGGGGCTGGGGAGGGAGGTGGGGCTCAGCCGGGGGGAAGGGTGTTGGCACTTCACACAGACAGGCCAGGCAGTCTGCCCTGCGTGAAAGAGGTGTGGGCGGCCAGGGAAGCAGAGGGGGCCCCACAGTCTTTTCTTGTTGGTCGATGATTCTCCATTCATATTCTTCCCCGCTGCCCGGGGTGGGGACCATGCAGTTCAGAGCAGGCCAGGGGAGGGAGAGAAGGAAAGCAGCAGGCCGCCCGGAAGGGGGACGGGGACGGGCGCAGGGGTGGCTCCTGGGGTAAGGCACAACCCTGTCTTTGGCTCTCCTGGTGAGGAGTTTCCTCCCCTGCACCCCTGCCCGGCCCCTCTCCCCAAACCAACACAGTCCCGGGAGCCAGGGATTGCCACCCAACCACCCAACCCCGTGCTGCAGGGTGTCGGAGGAGTTACAGGGGCAAGCCCCACCCGAGGAAAGGCAGGAGGAGCTGGGCAGGGGTCTGCCCAGGACATGGGGTGGGGAGGGAGAATACCCCAGTCCCAGAGAGCAGGCCCCCCGCTAAGGCCTGGGAGAGAGGGAGTGCCTGAGAACTCCTGCTTGCTTCTGGGGTGGCTGGAGCCCCGGCCCACCCGTGCCCCCTTGGCTTCAGCCAGTCGGGCACTGCTACTGCCAAGTGACCAGGATATTGTGCTTTGGGATCAATGCTGGGTGAGGGTGTCAGGGCCAGGACCTATGGGCAGGGAGGTGTGATTAAGGTGCTTGTGCTTTACCTGGGGGTGTCAGTTCCCCTCCACACACACTCAGGGGCTGACTAGGGGCTAAGGTGCTGGGGGCTGGGCCAGGAAACAGAATGCCAGGACCCCAGGCGGCCCTGACCCCCCTGACCGACACCCCCTCCCATGCAACAAGCAGATGTTAGAAGTGACACGCTGAAGGCTAGCGGGGGCTGCTGGGTCGGGGGAGGCCTGCCTCCAAATCAGACCCAAAGGGTCCCATGGGGCTGGCCTACCCCACCTCCTGCCATCCCCCAGCACCTAGATGAATGACCACTTAGAGCAATGGGCAGGTAAGAGTTGGGGAGGGAGAGGAGAGGTGGTGAGGACAAGGGCTAGAAACAAAAGTGGAACTGTGAAATGACCCAAATGTGGGGGAATGGGGAGTAAAAAAAGAACACTCCATGTTCACATGTAAAACTCAAAACACCCTCGCTCTTGGCGAGGGAAAAAGAAGGAAAGAAATGGTAAGAGATTCTTCAAACAAATGTCAACAATGGAAATGGGCCCTGCCCTGCCCTGGTCCCTAGGTGCGGGGCTCAGCCAACCAGCCAAGGCCAGGGACACCCTTAAACTGTAGCCCTGTTGAGGGGAGGAAGCATGGGGGTAAAGGAGGAGCCGGTCAGTCCCACAGGAGTCCAGGCAGCTCTGGGCCGGGCCCGCCACAACAACTCATACCCATACTCACATGCACGCACACGCACACAGACACCTGTCTAGCTCCAGCTGCCATCCTACCTGCCCCGGCCCCCAGGGACCAAAGGGGAAACATCAGACACAGTCCCGTTGGTTTGAAAAATAAAAGGAATCTTATACTTCAATATTTCATTAGCTAAGAAAATGTTTTAAAAAGTATGTACAGGGGGAGGGGGCTGGGAGCCCAGCTGTGGGGCAGGGTGGGGGGAAAATGGAGGGAGGGGCAGCAGCCCCCAGCCCTGCTCCCCTCCGTTCAACCCTGGTCCTACTGCCTTTTTTAAAAGCAAAACTTCTACACACACACACACATACACACTCTCTGAGCCCTGGAAACCTCTCGTCCTATCCTCAGAGACCCCCTGTCTGCCCCTAAGTGTCCCCTCACTCAGGACCTGCCTCTCTCAGTACCCAGGGGACTGATGGGGGCAACAGAGGCTGAGCGTCTCGTGAGAGAAGAAGGGTGCTGGGCCCACCACTTTAGGCCAGTCATGGGATTTCTCTGAGCCTCAGTTGCCTCGGCTGCAAAATGAGCAGTCCCCACGGCCTCGCCTACCCCAGCCCCCAGGCGCAGGGACAGACGAGGGAAACAGGAAGGCGCTTTTGGAAACGTGGAAGCACTGGGAAGATGTGGCGAGAGGGGTCCTGAGAACCCGGGGCCCTTTGAGTCCAAAAGGGCCACAGTGAGGGGCAGAGGCTGATGAAACTTCCGCCAGGGGGCCCAGGGTCTGGGAGAGGGGCCTTCCCAAGCTGCCCAGGCCGGCCCCTCCCCATGCCTGCCCTGGTGAGTCAGGGGAAAATGTTTAGGGGTTAGGAGAGGAGGGGAGAGTGCTCCCCAACCGTGCACGAGTGTGTTAAAAAAGGCAACGCAAACCGCACACCACCTGCCATCCTCTCCCAGCCCTGCTCAGGTGGGAGACTCTGGGTTTGGGGACCAGGGGGTGGGAGGACAGGGAGGTAGAGGGGCTGGGAGCATGCAGCACCCCCGGGGGTCCTGGGGAGGGGCAGACAGTAGCTCGTGACCAGGATGGCGGGTGGGTGTGGCGGGAGGGGGAGTGTGACGGCTCCAAGGGAAGGGTCCGGTGGGGTTACTGCAGGGCCTCAGCTGAGGGGCCTGCGTCGCCATCGTGGCTAGCTGTCTCGAAGCCATGCTCCACGCCCATCATGTCTGGCTCTATCTTGCCGGTGTCGCTGATGAAGGTCGTGTAGACATCGCCCTCGGCCGTGAGGGGCTTGAGCTTGGGGATCCAGCTCTTGCGTACAACGCGGCGGGCATTGGTGCACATATCAGCCGCGATGGCATTCATCTCGCTCTCCTTGAAGTTGGGGGCAAAGTTCTGGCAGTAGTCTGAGTGGGCAGAGTGGGGAGTGGGGGGGCTCAGCTGTAGCCCTGGCCTCCCTCCCCTGGTGGCAGACAGGCACTCTAAGTCACATCAGGCCTGACCCACTCCTGACTGAGTGTGGCACGTGGGACGTGGGGTTGGGATGGGATGGCCTAGTGTCTTTTCATACCAACAGCTGGCTTGAATGGCGCTGCTGGTGGCCGCCACTTTGTTTGCCAGGCTGCTTCCTGAGTTGGCCCATCCTGAGTTTGAGACCCTTCCCAGCTTACCCCAGGTCCCTCTGCAGAAATCTCTCACTAGTCACAGCCCTCTTCCCAACAAGCCTAAATTCAGCCTCAACTCCTTCTCAACACCCAACTCCAGACAGCCCCCACCCATCAGTCAGGGCCAAACCAGGGAGAAAGACATCTGCCCCTGGGACCCCTTCCCAAGCGTCATACTCACACTTGACGGCGTGGAGGACGCGGCTGTCCAGGGGCTTGCGGGTGGGGTCGTTGGTGGAAGAGCGGATCCCAGTGCCACAGCTGTTGGCCAGCGTGTTCCTGGGGGCAGAAGGCATGGGGCGGCGGGAGGAGTCAGTGCTCCCTGTGGTGGCGGGGGATCCTCAGGAGGGGCCACAGGGCAACCCCACTCCCTCACCCTGGGCTCTGAAGGGCCTCACCGGTCAAAGAAGGAGGCCAGGAGCCGCCGCAGCAGGACCTTGTGCCGTGTGCCCGCACTGACGTGGCAGTTCATGAGCTGTGCCCTTGTGATGTATACATTGGTGCCTGGAGAGGGGAAACTAATGGATGGCCCAGTGCCCCCGAACCTCCGCCTCCCCTTATATTCACCCCCATCCTGCGGACCCCCGCTTCTCTGAACTCTGGAGACACTCGTCTTGGGCTCTGGGACCTTCTCCCTCCCACAGAGAGTGGGCAGGGCAGCTTATTCTGACTCCCTGCCGCACTCTGGACAGGACAGAAATGGTGGTGTCAGCATCTCCATGGCACCTACCACGTGCCAGGACTAGCCAGGTGTCGGCTCTGCCCACCCTCTGGGGGAGGGAGAAGGTCCCAGAGCCCAAGAAGAGTATCAGTTCAGCGGGCAGCAGCACCTAGGCCAGCTGACTACAAAGGTCAATTATGAACCACGGTGGCACTGAATCCTCAACGCCAGCCTACGAAGGAGCTAACTTATCTCCACGTGGCCACACAAGAACAGCCTGCACTTACATCAGCTCCCAGTGGGTTCCCAGGGCCCTAGTCTTTTACGTGCATCAACTCATTTACTCTTACCAACAACCCCGCAAGGGCTGCCCCTGTGATCAGATGAGGAAACCAAGGTGCTGAGGGGTGTCAGCTGCCCCAGGTCACAGCCAGTGTGGGGCAGGATTTGAGGCCAGGCAGCTGGGCCCAGAGTCTGGCTCTGGACCACCACCCACATGCCACTCTGCTCAGTGGGGGCTGAGGTCCCAGAGGAGGGGTGATACAGCGTGCCAGACCCACCTGTCACCAGCTCCAGCTTCTCAGAGGGGTCACCCTCATCGTATAGCTTGGGGTGGCAGCGGTTGCCGATCTGGTTGATGAGCTCGGCAGGAAGGGACGCCAAGTCTTGCCGCACCCGGATGCGATTCCGGTACTCACGGGCCACCTGCTCAGGGAGAGCCTCCACCTTCTCAGCTGGGGAGAGAGACAGGCAGTGTGTGGGTGTTGGTGGTGGGGATGCGGGAGATAAGGCTGGGCTGTCTGGTGTCTCACCTGCCTGGCCGACGTTCATCATGCTGTACATGGTGTACATGTTGCAGATCTGCCGGTACTGCTCATCTGTGCCCTCCTCGCCTGCGTCCTCCTCCTCGTCCTCCTCGTTGTGGTAGGAGCCAGGGCTGTCGCTGGTGTAGGCACTTGAGGTGCCAGGGCTGGTCCGCTCCGATGTGCTGGGCCCGCTTACCATGCCCCCAGCTGACACCACTCCACCGGCTGCCTGCCCAGTCCCCGCTGCCCCTGCCACGGCCACCCCAGCTGGCTGGGCTGATGCCACCACTGGGGCCTGCTGGGGTGGCGGGGGATGGGGTGGCCGGTTGGCGGCCAGGTCTGGTGTGGAGAACTTGGCCATTTTGCGGCTGCCATTGCCACCACTCCCAGCCTCCTTCTGGCCGCTGTCCCACAGCCGCTTGGCGACCGGCGTGCACTGTACCGAGTCCAACTCCTGCTGCTCTGTCTTCACCCTTGACACGAGGGGCAGCGGGGTGCTGCAGGCCGGCCAGCTCGACGTCTGTGCCACGGGGCTCTGGGGCTCAGACGACGGGGCCTCCTCAGCGTGCAGGCCCTGCGAGTCACAGCTGGGGGAGCTCACCTTGAGGAAGAACTCGGTGCCCTTCTCCATGATCTCCTGGATCTGCAGGAAGCCGGCCGTGTACATGAGCAGGAACTGGTCACCCACGTTCATGCTGAGTCGGCCCGTGTAGCAGAAGCTGAGGATCTGCTGGAAGGACTGGGGCTGCACGGCTGCTGGCAGCTCCACCACGGCACTCCGGCTGCTGTTGAACAGGTCCCGAAAGTAGGAGCTGCTGGCGGCCAGCACAGCCCGGTGGGCCTTGAAGGCGTGGCCCTTGACCACGACCGACACGTCACAGTACAGGCCCTGCAGCCGCTGCTCGTTGAGGCACTCCAGGATGCTGTTGCCGAAGTTGGGGATCTCCATCTGCAGTGTCTGGGCCATGGCGGCTGCTGTACAGGGGCCAGAAGGGAGACAGAGACAGGTCAGTGGGTGGACACTGGCTCTGAGTTCGGCTTACGGAGCAGCGATGTGCAGGCTCAGCCCAGCTCACGAAGACCTCACCTGCTGGACGGAGACCCAGGCCCACAGCAGAATCCACCTAGGGGACTCAACAGGGCCATATAAAGCACATGGAGCCAACCCTTACATCCTGGTATGAGCTGCCCTTTACGACATTATTAATAAGCCTGGAGTCCTTGGGGGGTGCGAACAGTTAACGCGCTTGGCTGCTAACTGAAAGGCTGGCAGTTGGAGTCCACCCAGAAGTGCCTCAGAAGAAAGGCCTGGTGATCTACTCCCAAAAAATCAACCACTGAAAACCCTATGCAGCACAGTTCTACTCTGACACACTTGGAGTTGCTATGAGTCAGAACTGACACAATGGCAACTGGGTACTGGTTATTAACAAGCTCAGCCAGTCCAGACCAGGCACCCACACACAGGCTGTGCTTTGCAGGCAAAAAGGCCAAGGCAAACTCAGATGTAACTGCTTGAATATTCAGTGGCTGACCTCGGAAGGGTAGCTAAGACAGAGTGAGTACCATGTAAGCGTTCACTACTGCTAGCACAATGTGCGGACAGGGTCCCTAGAGGGCACGGGCCTGGAAACACCAGGAGGGCGGGGTCATCTGACTGTTCACCACTGCATCCACACATGACCCTCAATCACCGTTGGTTGAATGACTGAGAACCCATTGCTGTCAAGTCCGACTCATAGTGACCCTATCGGACAGACTATTGGACACAGTAAAACTGCCCTACAGGGTTTCCAAAGTTGTAATCTTTACAGAAGCAGACTGCCACATCTTTCTCCCGCGGAGTGGCTGGGGGGTTCAAACCACCGACCTTTCGGGTTAGCAGCCGAGAGCTTAACCATCAGGGCTCCTCGAATGACTGACTACACACGAAACCCTGAAATTACGCAAAAAGATGCTCCACATCTCCAGTCATGAGGGAAATGCCAATCCAATCACAATGAGATATACTTCACGCTCCCTAGAATGGCTAGAATGAAAAGATCAGATAATAACAAGTGTTGGAGAGGATGTGGAGAAATTGGAATCCTCGTACCCTGCTGGCGGGAATGCAAAATAGTGCAGCCGCTGTGGAAAAGTTTGCCAGTTCCTCAAAGTCAAAAATAGAATTACCACATGACCCAGCAATTTACCCCTGCTAGGTATATAGCCAGAAGAACAAAAACACATGTCCACACAAAAAAATTGTACACCAATATTCGTAGCATTATTTACAATAGCAAAAAAAGTGGAAATAACCCAGATTCCATCAACTGGTGAATGCATAAACAAAATGTGGTCTATCCATACAATGGAGCATTATTCAGCCATAAAAAGGCATGAAGTACTAATACCTGCCACAACACGCACGGACCTCTAAGACATTATGCTCAGTGAAAGAAGCCAGTCACAAAAGACACATAGTGCATGATCCCATTTACACAGGATATCCAGAACAGGAAAATCCACGGAGAAAGCACAATAGTGGCTGCCAGGGACTGGGGGGAGGGTCAGTGATGGCTAAGGAGAGCAGGGTTCTTTTTGGGGCTGTGACAGTTTTTTCAAACGAATTGGTGATGGATGCACAACAGTATACTTTAAATGGGTGAACTGTAGGATATGTGAATTGTATCTCAGTAAAGTAGAGGGTCATCACCCTCAATGAGACAGACTGACACAGTGGCTCAACAACGGACTCATGCTTAACCAACGATTACGGCGCAGGACTGGGCAGTGTTTTGTTCTGTTGTGCGTGGGGTCACTGAGTCAGAACCGACTCGACAGCACCTAACAACAATAACAACAAAGCTGCTAAAGTAAAGGAACCCTCGTGGCGCAGTGGTTAAGCACTCAGCTGCTAACCAAACGGTTGGCCGTTTGAACCCATCAGCTGCTCCGCAAGAGAAAGATGTGGCAGTCTACCTCCATAAGGATTACAGCCTTAGAAACCCTACGGTCCAGTTCTGCTCTGCCCTATAGGGTTGCCATGAATCAGAATCGATTTGACAGCAACGGGCATTGGGTATATGTAAAGCTGCTAAACTAGCTGTCTCTGGACATAACTGGGGAGGAGACTTGTCACATATACCCTATGAATTTTGAACTTGGTGAATGTATTGTCTGTTTATAAAAATACAATATTTAAAAATAAATAAAATGTGTGGAATCATCTCACACATTTAATTTATACAAAGTAATCCAAAAGTGCTGGGGGTGGGATAAACAGGAATTTAAAAAACTGCCTGTCATCTTGCCCAAGGAGCCACCCCTTACCCTGATACATGGGGAACCTCCTGGGGAGGGGGCTGGGCGCCTCTGGCAATTGTGGACTTCTCCAATGCAAGCCTCAGGAGGAAGAACGGGCCCCACGCTCTGCGGCCATTATAAAGGGTTCTGAAGGCAAACTGTGGCTTTAAAAGTGACCTCCACAAAATGAGCATCCTCCGCAATTCTACAGGGTGCATGGGGGGCAGTGGTCTGGACTGGGCAGGGTGGACTTGAGAACACCTCCTGAGTAAGAGGCCCAAGTTGGGACAGCTCAGAGTGAGCCAGATGAGGAGGATTAAGAGGAGAAAGGAGGTAGTATGTGTGCAAAGGCCCTGGGGCAGGAAGAGCTGTTCTTCCCTTACTCCTCAGATTAGTGTTTGTGCATTTCTTACTTTTTTAAAATTCATTAACAAGTCCCTTCTGAGTTGTCTCCCTGCCAGGCATGGGGATGTGGCCATGGGTTCAGAGACAGTTTCTGAGGTGTGTTCTGGGCCAGTGTGAAATCTGCTTGTGGGACCTAGAGCTCCAACTCTCTGCTTCTCCATTTGGAAATGGTCTAATAAGGCCAACCTGATTCTTCAAACTCAACCTGCACTTACAATGAGGGAGCCGGAAGGGACCGTGGCAGCCAGAGGCACTGCCCCTCCAGCACCCAGGCCAATGCAAGAGCAGACACTGAACAGTAGGAATTCATCAAGCCGTCTTCGTAAGCCTATGGGGCTGGTTTCATTACTCTCAAATCTCAGCTGGGACAACTGAGGCATGTAGAAGTTAAGGGCTGTCCCAAGGTCATATGGGAGTAAGTGGTAGGCACAAGATCCAAATCAAGATCTGTCTGGGCACTGTGACTTCTCACACTGTTGTCTCCCTCATCATCATCATCATAATCCCTGTCACCACGACCAATAACAACTCAGGGCAGCAGAGGGGGTAGGCAAAGACCAGGAGGCCCCAGTTAGAGGGCATCACAGCTCTCCTCCAAGGGGCTCAAACTCTGTCCTGGACAGGCCACCAACTGGCCTTCTGCATGAGGAGACGGGAAACTGAGGCCTCACATGAGTGCAAAGGTCAGAGCCCAGAGAGCCCTGCTCCAGGGGTCCTAACCCACCTCCCCGGGCTGCAAATTGAAGCTGCTCCAGTTTGTGGGGCCCAACCCAAAGTAGCTAAAGGAAAGACTGGCCCCCAGAACCCCTGGAGGGTGTTCCAGACCCCACCTTAGCAGGCTCACCCTCCAAGGGGGAAGATAAAGGCAGAACAAGTGCACAGTGGAGCCAGAACCCCTCAGACCTGGGTTTCCATGCCAGTCCCTCACCTCTTTGTGCTTCAGTTTATTCATCTGTAAAATGGGGACTCATTCACCCAAGTCACACTGATGGACTGCCCCTTCCTCTGTGCAAGGCGCTGGAGACAGCCGTGAACAGGACGGCCTGCACCCAGCTGGGGCTTACTGTCTAGTGGGGGAGATCCAGGAGTATTTAATTACAGTTTGGGTGAGTGTATTGGGACTCATCTTGGTGGGGGTGACCTTAAAGGACAGGCAGAAGGCGGTGAGGCAAAGAAGTGGATAGAGGGAACAGTGCTCATGGGCAGGAAGGAGCCAGGCACAGTCCAGGGACCCAAAGGAAACCAGCGTAGCTGGAAAAAAGCACCGCAGGGAAAGGTGTGAGGATGGGCCTGGGGAGATGGCAGCAGGAGTGAGAGGTGAACACACACTCGAGGGGCTCTGGAGGGAAAGCCATGTGGCTAGGGGTGGGGAAGAATGAAGACCAGGACCTGGCTTCTCTCTGGCCAATTCCAGGTCCCTGACACTCACTGGTAGGGAGGAAGGATGCCCGTCTCCAGGATGGGGAATGCTACAAAAGGAGCAGTTCTCTGTGGGGTGGAGGGCATGGAATCACCTGTCCCAGGCAGGGCAGCATCTGCAGCCCACTAAGCAGGCCTGTCCACAGGGCCACCTGCAGCCCCAGGAGCCAGGTGGTGCTTAACAGTTGCTATGCGTGGCTATTCCTCCAAGGAGGCTGTCAGCTCCACGAGGCAGGCCTTGTGGCCAGCTTTGTTCAAGATGAGCGGCTCAGAACAGAGGGAGATGCTTAATAAATATTTTTACATGTGTCAAAGAATACCGCAGGTGGTTCACAGAAGGCGCAAAGCCTGCAGGCAAGGAGAAAGGACTCGTGTTTGGGCCAGGGCAGCTTGGAGGAAGAGTAGTGTGGGGACAGCGACTGAGGCTACGTGGAGAGGACAAGGGGCTTCGGGGCTGTGGAGGCTTCCGAGGCAGCCCGCTGGGCACTCACACAAACTCTGGGGGGTGGGGGGGCGCACTATGACTGCCCCACTTTACAGGTGGGAAAGCAAAGCCCATCCCCACCCTGTCCCCTCCCAAGGCAAGAGCCAACCTGTCAGTCCCCCATTCTTCATGAACCCTAAGCCTCGAAGCCCAGCACACCACCTCAGGGCTTGAAGCGTTTGATTAGCCATTAGGCGACAATGAGTGCTAATGGGGCACACCCTCCTGCGCCATTCCTGAGGAGTGGGGCCGGGTCATAAGCTGCAGGGAACCAAACCCTGTTCCCTCCAGTTCCCACAGGTTGTCAGTGTCTGCTGTGAGGGTGGGAACCTGGTGAGAAGCGGGGAGGCGAGGCTGTGGAGGGCCTGGGGCTGCAGTGAGT